CTTTTGGCACAAGGAGATTCGTCGTGCTGAAGTCTCTGTAGCAGCTTTGTATACAGGGTGGGGTTTCTTGCCTATCGCCTGAGAAGGGGAGGGAGAAAAGGTTAGTGTTGCGTGACCGCAGAGCCCAGGGGACAATTGCTTTAGGCCGGTCACATGTGGCCTGTTTTTGTTTGTTTTTTCTTGTTTGGTGTGTCTCACTAGCATATTTATCAATTCTGCCCTGTGACACAGCAGCAGGAAGCGCGGTCATTGTTAATCCGGACCCCCACCGATCCGGCATGATATTTTGTGAGTTTGTTTGAATCATGGTATTGGATTGGGTAGCTGCTTTTTGTCTAACCGCTATACAAACAACCATTCTGGCATAGTAGGACCTACAGGAACATAAGTTCCAGCGGGTGAAGCTCGTTGAGTCATTGCGACATGCAAGCCCTACCATCACGTCAAGGTAGCAGTATCGGTCAGGCATTTACAAATTACATTATTTTATTTTAATAATCACACAATGATGCAGCATTAACAACACAAATCCAGTCAGAAATACTGCATCACTGTAGGATTATCATTAAAATAAACCTATTTATTTGGATTAACGAACCAACTTACTGACTGACTAACCAAACAACCAAGTCACGTATGATCTGACGAACTGATCAATGAACGAACGATTGCACGAAGGAAGGAAGGAAGAAGTAGAAGGAGAAGAAGAAGCAAACATTAAGTCGAACTGATTCACGGACAGTCTGAGTTCCAAATACGAAAATTATTTACTCATCATGGAGTGAATATGTAAAACGGAAGAGTAAATCCATGCACAAAACAACCAACAACTGACCAACCAAACAACTGGTCAATTAAAGAACCGATAATCCAATAAAGCAATCAGTCAGTCAACCAGTCACTCTCTTGGTCGATCAATAAGTCAATCAATCAATCGATCAATGAAGACATAATGAGTCAAATAAGAAAGACGAGCGAAAAAGCGAGTGGAATATTGAACATACTGACTAGATTCGAGAGCCTCATTGGTAAGCTTCCAGCTAAGCTTGCAGCGTTATTATCAAGACCATATTCAAGCAGTGACTAAAAATGAACAGAACTGAATTGACTGCCTGCAAAACAACCACCAACTAACACTGGACGCTTCAGTATACACCTAGAGCAATGCAGAAATAATTAGTGAATAACTTTATCTCATTCCTCATTCTTTGATTCAGAGTCTTTTATATGCATGTGGAGGTATGTAATAGATAGAAATAAAGGCTTCAATCCTAAGACCAGTCTTCTTCATTTATAGGCATAACGAAGTTAGTACATGAATTTTCAGTCAAATGTTGAAATTGTGAGGGAAAGAATTTTTTCATTTAAAATAAGTGACGTCAATTTGTGCAAAGTATTGCGATCATAGTAACAATCAATATGCAAATGGACAAAAGTGTAACGTGTGAAAACAAATTTATTCTTCGAACTTGTCAGCTAAAGTCAAGGTACTAAGACGTTGAGTGAAGCACACTACATAGGACTGCATTGCTCAAGCGGAACAGTCAAAGATTTCAAAAATTGGTGTCATAATAAAGTCATACTACACCACAGGTCTCTTCGAATCCAATGCTACATGATGAACAGGGTATCTTGACATTCCTAAGACGTATTCTGGCCATCTCAATTGATGCATTTTCACAACTGCATAGATTAGTTTCCCATCCCTACGTAACTCCTCACCCACACCAACATCCCCATACCACCGAACAACACATCATGACAGAGCATCACCGCCTATAGTCGGAGATGCCTAACTGCCTCATTTCCTCGCCTTACAACATTGAGACTCAAAACATAATTGCATTCACACAATGCGATGCACCAACCTGTCACCTTCCATTATTCCTTTGAAATCAGAGGACACTCAGCTTGCAGCTTGTTAGTATTTTATGCAAAGAATAGTGCATTCAATTGTTCCCAGGTAAAATAATAAATCAAGTGTCGTTCTAGCTGTAACTTCAAATAGTCTACAGAATTTAAGAAAAATATTCAAAGTTATTTTCCAATGTTCTTCATATTTTATAATTAAATTGATATCACAATTTCGTTTTCTTCTTTTCTTCGTCTTTATCTGCTTGACCTCTATTCTGCGGTGTCTTCCGTTTTGAATATTTTAAAAATATTCTCATCTAATTATCTTTAGTTAAGTCACTTTTATTTTGTCTAAATTAAGTAATGTAAGCAGTGTGATGCTGAGATGAAGCTTTGCTACTCTTCTACAATTGGTTTTTCTTTGTTTGTTTGTTTGCTTGTTGTGCTGATATTTTTGCGTTTCCCTATCCCTTGTGAATCCATTTCATACTCAGTTGAGTGCTTAGTTTGCCCATTCAGCATTCAGTGCATTCTAGTCGGTCTAATTTGTCCTCTCTTGTAAGCCAGAATGTAAGAGTACTTTCACCAATTCACATTATCACCACCTGAAATCTGCTTTACATCGGAAACACTGTTGAGAGATCAGAAGACTTTCGTCGCACTTATTGTAACCGACGAATCGACTGTTTCCGACGAATTCATTATCCAACTGTACAATCTTGTGTATATGGTTCTCTTCAAGAGATTATGTTCGGGACGGGAATTGAATCAAAGTTGTGAATATATAAAATAATAATAGCAGTATTAAATGCAAATACAATCTTTGTGATTGCAATCATAGTAATCTCTATCTGACTGTATGTCTGTCTATCCATCTCAATGTATCTCTCTCCTTGTAACGAAAACACGACACACACACATGTGAATTACACAAACAATGATGAACATGATCTGTTCCTCTCGTGATAATCTCTTTATAAGCTCTTGGGTTAATTCTGTCCTCAACAGTCTCTCTTTGATGAGAAAACGTTCACTGCATTATCGTTTAAAGCTCACGAGGTTTAAAGGGGAAAACAGATTGAATCACACACCCTCAACATATTTATACCTATCAATGCTTCACTCTCACACTCCAATAAAAACTCTCTCTTTATCTTTTCCCCCTCTTCCTCTCACACACACTATCTCTTTCTCTATCTATCGCACAACTTCTCTATTCTTCACGTCGTATTATGATGCGTATACGCACTTTATAGTCTTTGGCGAATATCTACGCTTCGCCAAACTGACATTTCCTCTAGGCTAAACAATACACTTCGTCAGTCGTAACAATAATACTAAAGTCATGCACAGTCAGTGAGCCTATTTGTTTCAATTAGCTACCTCATTTGCATGTAACCCACTGTACTATAAAGACAGAAAACGCCAATTGAAACAAAATCTTACCAAGAAAAATGTTATATTTAATTAAACAAAAAGAATTATTTAAAAGACTGTTGCAGAGAAGAAAGTTTCCTTCTTGACGAAGTCATCAAAAAACAAAAAGAGATAAGTAAACAATATGTTCCCTTCACCAATATTGCTTGAATTCCCTTGGAATCGAATTCACTTTCCTGCAGCTGAAACAGAATGAAACCAGAAATAGAGCAACAGTGAGTTGAAACTAGACACGTATCTTGTATAGCAGAAAGTATTTTATCCTATTTTCATCTAACAAAGAATTACACTAGTCATAAAGCATTAGTTCCAGTATATATTGAAACACATATTCAGTGTGTACATTATCTGGTTGATTCTAAGTTACAATTCCCCTCACAGGAAATCAGCTATGCGAAGCACCAGTATAATTTACAATGTTCTCAAAAGTTGTTACAACCCTGATATTGGGTGCAGCCACCGACTGTGATCATGTGGCCGGTCAGCCAGTAGCTCGGCCATCATGTGCCTGTTCACTGATGAGTAATCAAGAAATGCGAGTGAACAGAAGTTCATTGTTAATTGTTCCTAAAAAATTCATCTAGCTGATTTCAGCTAACCTCGAAATCCATCTTCAAGTTCATATTCACTTGTGCAGTTAGTTAGTAATTTAAAACACGCTGAGGATCTAAGTAAAAACTTACTTCAATAATACTGCTTGGCATCTTCCTTCATTTCATCCAGGAGCCAGTTTATTCTGTATTCTGGAGTTTGAACTAGTCAGTTGTAAATCATTTCAATATTTCAACTTACACATTAAAAATTCAATCCGGCTCATTTCTAATTGTTTTATTTTGTTCAGTAGTATCCCTGAAACAGTGAATAGATTTTCAATAATGCATTAGTACCTTTTTCAATGTTACATTACACCGTTGGATTATTATGAAATAAAGCCAATTATGCACGATCATACCATGTAGTCTCCATGTAACTGTTATTTTATTATTATTTTAATTGTTCCTTTGGGTTCCTAGTGGAACATAACGCTTCAACTGCACGTCTCCACTTGCTTCTGTCTTCTGCTGTACTTTTCACCTGCATCCATGTTAATCCATATTGTTTTAGCTCCTCTTCACACGATCTCCTCCATGTCACTCTTGAACGTCCACTCGCTGGTTATCTTTCGGGTTACACTCGAGGGCCTGACGCGCGATGTCACCCAGCAGCCTCCTCAGCGAGGGTGAAGTTGCTAGCAACACGCCTCAACCCTCATTCATTATCTGGGCTTAGGACCGGCTAGAAAACTAGCGAGCTAGTAATCTAGACGAGGTTAACTGTTATTTTGAACTTCACATAATATGTGATAAACATTTCTGGCTTTATTCTATGATTCATTGATGAAGTCATTGAAGCTTTATCGGAATAGTTTTGCGTGTTTCAATAATATGAAAATAACACCATACGAGCAGTAGACTCGACGCTTTTGTGCATAGATATTTCAGCCGTGATTCTGACTAACTGTTCAACAATTTGCAGATTCCAATATAAGTGTGACAAGTAATGTTGCTAATTTTTTCAATGATATAGCCGTATGTGGAATTAGGGATTAAAAAAACTTGATAATATACACGTCACCAGTCACACAGACTACTTCTGTCTCTTGAAGTACATCCATAAATATAACTATTAAATATGAAATGCGGTCAAATCAAATAACTATGTAAAATTACTTGTGCCGTTGTCAAAATCATAACGAGCCTTCCAATACGCCTGCGTAATTTCAGCATCATTCGATGTTTCTGAAAGGAATAATGACTCGTCATCAAATTCATAGTCGCATACATACTTGACAATACTGAAAGGAATTATTTCATGCAAATACATTCATTGTGGGGTGAGATATGTGTCAGTAATTTGCGCACTTTGAATTTCCAATTAGTGAGTATATTCCTACTTTAACTTATCGTCTGGTTGGTCTCTTGTCTTTACCTTCACATGATCTTCAAACTTGAGATCCTCAAAAACGAGTCGCTGTCAATTCAAAATACCATGTCATAATTTCTTGATATTTATTCATAATTAATTTGATGTTTGCTTGTTGACAGTGAGATTTTTCATCATTTGTAGCACCGAGGTAGTCACCATCATCAAAATGTGATGAATTCATTGTCTGCTGAGGGTGAAGTTCTGAAGTTCTTTGATGTAGAACTGTGATTAATTTCAATCAAAGAGGAATCGCATGGAGCTTAGTGATGAACACCTTTTTAACTTCAAAATATTTTAAGCAGGTTAAAACTGTCGCTCACCATTTTTGTAATTTCCTTTCCTTATACTCTGCAAATATGCTAAGAAATAATAATACAATAATATGATTTGATTATGAGAGATAAAAAGTCCTAGAAACGTCTTCCAGTTATGAATACTGAGACAATATGTGTTATATTCACTGGACTAATTTAATATCGAATTATATTCTGCCACAGTGCAAACGATACCACTTCTGCAGTCGATGTCATCTTTTTTAATTATTATACCCATATTTTGAGAAGATGGACGCTTGATCTACTCTTCTCTCTGCTTTCCATTGTAAAGAAAGGTTGAAGTCGATCTGGGCTTCACGTCATTTGTACAGCTGAGTCACCACCCTGTTCATCAAATGGTGAATCGTACAGGCCTGTCCACTGCTTCATTGTGCTTTAAAGTTCACTAATCAAATTGATGAATATATTTACTCACTTGAAGTCTTTCTGTATGCATTAGATGCGATGACCGCTGCCTTTTGCAGCTTTTGAAGGTCAGCTAAGAAAACAAGAGAAAAAACAACCTTGACACGCTTTTCGATCAGTACGCCATATTTGCTCAGATACATAAAACTTTAATTTCTCTGGCGTTTCTTGCCATGAAGTTGTGGAATTTATTTAATTATTTGACTTTCGAACATTGAATCTGTGGATAGAATCTTGTTGACTGATAAAACCTTTAAGCATCTGTTTAGCATATTGTGAATGTTTAACACTATCTAATATCCATAACTGTGTACATTGTTACCCATAATGGAATTATACTCTACCACAGTGCCCAAGTTTTATTCTTATATCAATGATACATTGTTAGACTTATATATTCATTTTGACCCAGGTCAGTGAGTCTATGGTTTTGATATCACTGTTGTTAACCGTTTTTTATGCAAGTGATACTGTTGCTATGGCTTTATGTATTGTTGTTGTCACTGCTCATCCTGTTGTTACTTTTTTCCTTTTGCTGATAATGTCTTGATTGCTTAATTCTTTGTTTTCTTGATTCGAACGAGAGCAACCCACAAGTCACTCCTCTGTAAACTATACATTCACGTAACAACCTCTTCTCAGGCATGAGGCCAGCAATCACACCCTGTTAACACGGTTGCTACAGAAACTTCAGCACGATGTCTCCTTGTGACAAAAGAAGAATTCTATGTGGGGACATGGAACGTCCGCACCATGTATGAGACTGACAAAGCTGCTCAGCTAGTGAACGACCTGAAAAGATACGGAAATCAAGTATTGATAATATGCGTAATCAGATGGAATGGGATTGGACTCATCAAATTGTTAACGGAAGAGTCGGTGATCTACCTCGGCCATCCAGAAGACAACCACGATCACACCGAGGGTTTAGCTATCATGATGTCATCAACGGCAACAAAGACACTCATACAATGAGAGGCGATCTCACCCAGGATAATGACCACCAGACTTAACTCAAAAAGGAAGGAAAGAACCAATTATACAATGATGTGCACCCACAAGTAACACAGAACTAGAAAATGAAGAACAGTTATACAGACAGCTGCAGGCAACATTGGACAGTACTGCAGTAGGTGACATTAAAATACTAATGGGAGACATGAATGTCAAACTGGGACCAGGCAACACAGGAAGACAACTCATCCTGGGTAGAGAAGCTCTCGGAGAATGCAATGAAAATGGAGAACTCTTCGCTGAGCCCTGTACCTTTGATGAACTAGTGATTGGCGACAGCGTATCCAAACACAAGGATATCCACAAGGCTGCATAGGTATCAGCAGATGGGCGAACCGAAAACCAAATTGACGTCATCTCAATCTCAAGAAACTGGAGGCGCTGCTTATTGGACACAAAAGTAAGAAGAGGAGCAGACGTTGGCTCATATCACTATCTAAATTAAGGAACATTACAAATCAAATTAAAAACTTTCAAGGAAACAGAAGCTGCAGATAGACAACAAGCCAAGTTCAATACTTAAAAACTAAAGGATCAGGATACAACGAACACCCTCACTGCAAACGTAAGGAAAAAGCCGAGACACAAATCAACACTAGCGAAGAGATCAGCGTTGAAAAGCACTGGGACAACGTGAAAGTGGTGTGAAGTGAAACCTACATGAACGTTCTAGGCAGAAAGAAGAGACAAGACAAACAATGGCTCACTACGGACACATGGAGAATAACAGAGGAGAGAAGGATATTGAAACAAAAGATTGTCCAGTGTATTGACGAGCGACAAAAACAGGAGTTGAATGCAAGCTACACTGCACTGAGAAAAAGAGTAAATTAAACAGTCAGGAAAGAAAAAGGATGTTATCACGAAACTATGGCAAGTGAAGTGGAACAGCCTGTAGGCAAAGGTGACCTGGCAACATTCTATCAAACAACTTGGTCCTTATCGGGGAAACGTTTAACACAAATTAGGTCAGTGAAAGACAACAATGGAAAGCCCATCAGCAAAGAGGTGGAGGAAAGGTAACACTGGGCTGAACACTTCAAAAGACTTCTGAGTTGACTGCCCCTACAACGCGCACAATAACACCAACAGCAGAAACAGCACCACTACCAGTGGACTTCAACCCTCCGACAAGAACAGAAATCCTGAAGGCCATTAGGATGCTAAAAACTGGAAAAGCAGTAAGACCAGACGGTATCCTTGCAAAGGCATTGAAAATGGACCCAGAGTCATCAGTGGACTTGACGACACCAGTACTGGGGAAGGAGTGGAAAGATGGAGAGGTAACTGCGAGGTGGAAGGAAGGCTACGTATTCAAACTGTCTAAGAAAGGAGACTAAAGTCAATGTACCTGTCCATCCTGAACAAAATACTAAGCCACATCATCCAGGAGAGAATCAAACACGCCCTGGATCGAAAACGTCAACCGGAACAGGCTGGACTTGGATGAACAACTCATGCATCGAACAAATTGCAACACTACGATCATCATTAAACAGAGCTCGGAATGGAAGTCGGCTCTTGAATTCAACTTCAGTGACTTTGAAAAGGCCTTCGACAGCGTCAATTGAGAAGTGATTTGCAGGTGCTTCACTACTACAGGGTGCCGCCAAAAAATATACATCTCATCCAACGGTTGTATGACAGTGCTACGTGCCAATTTATTCACAACGGGAAACCTCACGGAATCCATCATAGTGAAAATATGAGTAAGACAAGCTGCCTGCCTACGGTTTCCAATGATTTCTCTGATTGCGGTGACCTGGATTGCGCAACAGACAGTGGCAGGCAGCGAAGAAACAGGCATAAAATGTACCCACACGAAAAACGTGGGGGATGTGAACTTCTCCGATGATATACGTCTGATTTCTCACAAACCGGAAGATATGCAAGTGAAAAGCAATAAATTTGCAGGAGAAGCATCAAAAATACGAGTTACTTTAGATGAACATAGAGAAAAAAGACGTATGTTATGAAGATTTCTGGCCAACAACATCGGAAACAACAATAGACAACAATCATCATAAATGGGAGAAATCTGAAAGAAGCAAACCCTTTTGCCTATACAGGAAGCATCGTTTAAACTACAGGCGGAACTGACGAGGATATCAAAGCAAGAATCGGAAAAGCAAGACAAGCTTTCACTACTCTCATGTCTGTGTCGAGGTCAACAGCAGTCAGCAATAAAAATGAAAATAAGATCCGGATTTTCAACTCCAATGTGAAGTCGGTGATACTATATGGATCAGTGACTTGGCCAACGCGTCATGAAGATCATCTCAAACAAACTACAGACCTTCATCAACAGTTGTCCTCGCTCCATACTCGAGATCAAATGGCCAGAAAGGATCAGCAGCAAAGAGAGACCTCTCTAAAAGAACCAATCAGAAACCAATTGTGCAACAAACAAGCACGAAGAAATGGACGTGGATTGGCCATACTTCGAGAAAAACATCAAGTGATATCACAAGACACGCCCTCAAGTGGAACGCGAATAAAAAGCGGCTAGTTAGTCGTCAGTGCGAAGGTGACATCAAGGAGGTCATGAAAAAAGGAGATAGAAGCATGTGGGCAGATGTGGAGCCAGGTGAAAACGCTGACGGATAACCGAACGCAATGAAGATGTGCGGCTGAATCCCTATGTTCTTCTTAGAACGAAAGAAACCAATAATAATAAATACAAGAAAACAAGAAGTGCGATAAGCACTGTTAAACACCAAGTGGTGCTGATTAGCTGCTATGTGAGCATAGTTTGGGGATCGTCGGAAGGATGTATACATTGATGTTGGACTGCAGGACCTCCCGATTTTAAGACAAGCTCGTATACCATTTAGCTATTGAGACTTCACTCAAATTCCAAGCACACCAATTTTGACTCCTATGGATCGGTGATTTCAACGTGACTGTCAAGAATCAGTGTTATGCGCGACGAGAATATGTCCGCACTCTCACGTCTGAGGACCTCACTGGTCACGAATCATCACTGGAAATCACATCAGACAAATTAGCACCACAGATAGTCAATAGCTGGCATCAGGACAATACAGAAGGGTCAGTTAATAAGAATTTCATTTGTTTTATGTTTAACCATGAATTGATGTCAGTCAGAGTAGCACTGAAAACCAACATCAGAGGAACGAATCCACCGGTGATATTGCTAAAACACTGAAAAGTCTTTCTTATGTAAAGTAGTTTGCAGATGCTGATAATTTGGGAATTGGTGAAAGTACTCTCATATTCTGACTTACTAGAAGACTAATTAGACTGACTAGAATGCTTTGAAAGCTAACTGAGTAGACAACACACTAAACTGAGTAATAAATGGATTTAGAAAAAAAACAAACGCAAATATTTCGACAAAACAAGCAAACAAAGAAAAACAACCTGACAAGAGTAACAGAGGATCACGTCAGTATCACATTATTTGCATTACTTAAGACAAAATGAAGGTGACTATACCAAAGATAATTAATTGAGAATATTTTTACAATATTCAACACAGAAAATACAGCAGATTATAGGTGAAGCAGAAAAAAAAACTAACAAAAGAAGAAAACAAAATAGGTATATTAGTTTATGAATTAAATATGAAGAACATTAGGAAAGAAATTTCAATATATTTATGAAATTCTGTTTACTAGTAGAGGTTACAGCTAGAACGACACTTCATTTTATTTCAATAGCTGCAGACAATTCAATGCAGCTTTCTTTGCATAAATTACTATCAAGTTGCAAGCTGAGTATCATCGGATTTCCATGGAATAATGGAAGGTGACAGGTAGGTGAATTGGATTGTGTGGGTGCATGCATTTTTGGTATCTCACAGCTCAAATTGGAGGAAATAAGGCAATTAACTGACTTTAACGGTAAGCGGTGATGCTCTGTCATGCTGTCGTGCTCAGTGGTATGCAGTTGTGACTACGAGTGAAAAAGTGCGTCAGAAGGAGAAATCAATCTTTGCAGTTGTGAAACTTCATCATTTGAGATGGCCAGATTACGTTTAAGTCATGTCAAGATAACCAATATCAGTTAATGAAGGAGGATTTTTGATGAATTCATCTATTTTCGGTAGAAATCGTCTGCTGAATACTCCACATACACGAATATACATACTTTTGAAATTACATTGGGAGATATCAGGCTAATAGGTAAACAAACCACATTGTATTAGTCATGCAGAAAGACAGGTGCGAATGTTTTCTAGGTCATGTTCAAATAGATAAGGGGAGAGAGAGTATGAGAGATCAAAATTAAGATAAATTGCATTACGCTTCAATTGCATCACTAAGATAAACCATTAGTCATTAGAGAATATAACAAGAATTGCAAACAGAGTAATATTAACAGTAGTAGTTATAATAACAATGATAATAATATAAGTGTTGAAGTGAGTTAAGATAATGCTAATGATAAAGGATAATAACAATATTAAGATATAGAATAAAAAATAAAACGTACTATCACGGTAGATTCAGAGTCACGACCATCTCCTTTTGTACACAGAGACTTGTTTTATAAACTCAAATTGCACAAGCCTCTGCAATTGCGGGCATCTTTATATGGAATTACACTCAACTAAGTGTCCATGCTTTACAATAACATTTGGGAATCATAGGTCTCTGCTAAATAGGCGCCCCACAGAACACAACATCAAGCTGCTAGAAGGAGCAATAAATTAGAAAATGATGGAGGATATATCCTTAACATGAGATATTCGTTGAAATGGTCGCTCCTAACATAGCATCTATCATTTGAACACCTCAACTTCACCAAATCATTCAACGCCTAGACGGTGGCATTTCGAGACACCACAGATGACAAACGGTTTTCATCTAAGATTGGCAGATGCTGTTTTGATTGTCTGTGGAAGCAAATCAAAAGCGGAAATCTTCTGAGTAAAAGTAAATTCATGACATCCTGATCTTTACTTCACAACAAAACACGCGGAACATAATAACAATCCGATATAATAAGTTTGATCTCGCAGCCGAATGGCATATCAAATGAAGTCCCTAACGGATACTTTATCTTTGAACGCAAACCACAATTAGTCCGCCAATGAATATTTTAAAGAAATAAGCCTTGGTAAAATTAATCAAATTTAATCCATAGTAGCTGTACAAATCAGTGTGCCTTTGGAATCAGATGATGCACAGGATTTGGTCCAACAAACACTTGATGAAGACCTCAGGAGATGCTACTGTGTCACAGAACTCGCGTTTTGTGACACCACCAAGGGGGTGCTGCTTCAATCTAAGAACGCGTGATCGCTAATCTGCTAAACTACAAGTTG